AACGGTGCACACCCCAGTTCTTCCGCGACAGGGGGTCCACGATAGTCCGTTGTAAAAAAGTGACGAAAGGGTTTTGAGGGTCCAAGTTTGAGGTGACATTTCTTATAAACTGCCACGAAGTATCATTAAACATTAACATGGCTGAAGAGTGTAAGAAATGGTGATTTTGGGGTGAAAACTTCTTTGGCTCCGAACCTTACTTCCGGGTATCCTTGCGCGCCAAGTGTAATCCGCCCGTTTTGACCTAGTTTTCGCTCTGCGGCTTCGTAGGGGTGGATTTGCAACCCCTCGCGCCGTGGACTGTTTAGAAAATTACAGTACTAGAATTTTCTTTATAATTTACTCGGGTATAGTCAAGGCTTGGGTCTTTCTGCCAGCATCAGTCATTTCTGCCGGAAAATTTTTTTTTGTGGGATTATCCTACGCGAAAATTCGCAATTTTGGGCATTAATTTTGGAGTGAAAATAATGTTTTTTCCGTTGATTTTACCAAACTTAAAAAGGTTGAAGAAACCAAACTCAGCTTGTCTTGTAGCTGAAGAGATACCCTTTCGTCCCATATACAGTTATTCTCCTTCCGAATTATTCCACGCCAGAGACGGTCGCTAGATTTGAGGGTGTGCAGCTTCGAATAGAGGCCCCAAATAAACTGGGGTGTGCCCCCTTAACCCTACTCACGATCGTGCCGCCGCCACCTCCCGTTGTTGTGATATAGATGATGTTGCCGTCCGGCCCGTACCGGTAGCGCCGCCCGTCCGCGCCCGTGTAGATCCGCTGGCCCTGAGAGTCGATGATGTACCGCTCCGAGGTGGTGACCGTGCCGCCGCCAGTCGTTGTGATGTAGATTATGTTACCCTGGTCGTCGTACCGATACCTTGGGATGGATGGTAATTGGTTCATTGGTAAGAAAATCGGCCTTGTGGTTTAGAAAAATTAATTGCCCCTTTCTTAACATGCTGTCGTGGAGAATAGCCAGTCATTGAGTTAATTACTAAGACAGGTTAAAAGTATTCAATTTTTTTACTACTCAGTGGCTCACAGCTGCCAAGCTAAGTGTTGCGTTCTTGCTACTTAAGATGGGCATCTTAACGGCTTGTAGGCCACTTTTACTGCCTCTCACCGCACCTATGTTTACGGCAGCCAGCTTACTAGGCTTGTATACAATAAAAACGCTACAGTGGATTAAGATTTGGCATGATTTTAACATATAGCAGGGTTTTAAAATAGTATAATTATCTATACCTTCTGCCGTCTGCGCCTGTGTAGATGCGGTTGCCCTGCGCGTCCACAATGAAACGTTCCGTCGTGGTCGTGCTGCCCTGGAGGGAACAACAAGTGAAGCAACAGATGAAGCAACAACTTAGACGTTCATCTGATGGTAAATTTCATCCCCGTGACGGAGGGGGTGGGGGGCGATATCGACTTCCAATCAACTTTGACCCATTTCTGACGTCACATGTGAACGTGAATCATACAGCAAGTGGATCTGAAGATTGATTACGTAGAAAATTTCATCAACAGTTTTAAAGTCAAATCGATAAATAACAAGAATTCGGAGATTTTATACCTCCATGAAATATGCATGAAATAATACCCACACCATTTATTCATGGCAGGAAAATCTGTTGCCAAAAATCAAAGACCATTCAGGACAAAAGATACAAAAACAGAAAGTTCTGCTGCAGTACCAAGGTTAGCCAACAGCAGGCCCATATTTGACCTTGACCTCTGTCTTCCTAAGACTTAGCAGCATACCAAGTATCATCTCAATCCGTAAAGGCGTTCTGAAGTTATGCTGATTACAAATATGCGGAAACACAAACACACACACACACACACACACACACACACACACACACACACACAGACACGCCAAAAACAATACCTCCATTTTTCATAGAGGTAAAAATGTTTCTCATAACCCATCGGCTACGCACCGTTCCTGTTGTGATGTAGATGCGGCTGCCGTCGGCGCCCGTCCGGTAGTGCCGCCCGTCCTCCCCGATGTAGACCCGGTTCCCGTCCGCGTCGATGTAGTAACGCTGCGTGGTGGTGATGGTGGCAGTCGTGATGTAGATGAGGTTGCCCTGGAGTTCACACGACAAAAGGCTATTTTGCAGGCATCCGGACCTTGGAATTATACGTCGTACCTAACATGGACCGCCCACCATCGTACCAAAGCGCTATATCTAGGCTCGGCGTGTTGGTGGTGGTTATGTACAGTTGATTGCCCTGTGGTTAATTAATCTAATCAGTCATTAATTAGATCTAATTAGTCATTAATCTATTATTGACCATTCATGATTCGATATCTAATTCTCCATTCTCTGTACATTAGGTACTGTCCAAACCCTCTGGTGGGAGATCTGAAGGCTGGGTCGGTTAGCATGGAGCCTTGCCTTCCCATGTTAGCTTTAGTCGGTCCACCAACATCGGTTTGTTCGCATGGTAGCAGAATCTGGCGGAGTTTGCTAGAGCTAGCTAGTCTAAACTCCAGGCTCGAGGACAGTACGGGTATTAGGGAGTGGACTAAAGTTAGGAAGGCTAGACTCCAGGCCAGGCTATAGGACGGTGAGCGGACTCAAAACTAGCCAGGCTACAGGACATTACCAGCTCGTCGTAGTAGTATCTCTGTCCGTCGGCCGTGGTGTAGACCCTCCGGCCCTGGGCGTCGATGGTGTAGGACACGCCGCCGCCGCGGTCGTCGGTGGAGTAGGTGACGACGCCTCCGTCGGGGGTGCGCCGGTCCCCGCCTGTTCCCGTCTCCGTGTAGTCGTAGATCACCACGCCACCCCTGTGGTACAGATGAACAGATCAGAATGAAAGTTAGTTAGTTCCA